CCGCCACTTCAACTTAATATTTATATGTTATGCTAGTTACATGAAAGGACACATCTGCCCTTGGTGTTTACATCATAACACTTAACAATATAAAACTGAAAAGTAAGTAACAACTAGAATAACAGAACTAGAATAACAGAAAAACATAACAAATAGACTAGGTACATTCTACCCTACGGACAGAGTGGCCCCACAGCACATCAGTTTATCTACAATACTCATGTTCTCATGTTTGAAGTTACTCAATGTGCCATCAGCTTTAACTATATGTTTTGTCACAGTTTGAGTTTTCCATGAAAAAGTTAGAGCTTTCAGATAAGAATTATAATATTTTTTTGGTAGAGAGATGAGAAATTATAATCTATGATGGGCCTCATGGTCTTTATGTAGGTTGTTTTGTACTTTGCCCACTAGAAGAAGACATGAAACTGGAGTTGGTCATCAGAAAGTCAACAATAACCAATATTAACCGGATAGAAGCTGATCTCATACAAAACTCTAAACCATATTCTTTGGGGCTGTTTTACGAAACTTGTTTGGTGATTCTCCTTCCAGCTCTTTGACTTGATGGGGAACCAAGGTCCCCTGGTGACATCTTTGCTAGCTAGCCTGTTCTCCATAGGAGGAAAAAAAGCAACAATCTTTTAGAGATGTATACCTTTGGCAGTCTGTTGGGAGTTGTCTTGAGAAAGAAATAACAGGATCTTCAAAGGAAAGGCAAGAAGCAAGGTGAAGATTTGTTTGAGGATATGTTTCAAGCTTATGGAATGGACTTCGACATCAGTGTTTTAAAAGCGCAAGGGGCAATTTGTGCCCAAGGCGCAAGGTCCAAGGCAAGGCACAAGAATACAAAAAAAAAACGCCAAAAAAATCAAAATAAAGTGAGAAATTTTAAAAATGCAAAAAAAAATAAAAAATAAATAAATATTAAACATAATATCAATAAAAAATATAAACTTAAATTTTAAAATAAACGTTTTAAAACCTATTATCTAAAATTAAAATACACAAACATAATATGTAAAGCATATTCAAATGAAAATTTAAACATAAACATTTTCAAGCATGTAAAACCTTTTTTCCTTGATTGCATTACTTCAAGTAACTAATGTGATGTAAAACAGTATTGTGTTCCTGATTCTACGAGCCACCTTTGTACCAAGCCCCTCGAGGCAAGCCCAAACAAGTCCATGTTAAGGTCTTAAATTCTTAATTCTCACACAAAAAAAATTAATGATTTTATAATTTTAATTGTCTTTTAAGAAGATATTTTATTAGGATGAATGAATGAACAACATTAGTAAATAGGGGGTTCTTGCCTTCTTAGAGCTTCAGTGAGCGAACGATGCAAGCAAAAAAAGCACAAAAATTTAAAAATCAAAAAGGCGTAAAAATTTAAAAAGGCACATGCCTTAGATGAGGCGCAAGGCGCATCAGGCACACGCATAGGTGCACCAGGCATGCGCCTTTTGAAAGTGTTGCGCCTAGGACCTAGGTGTGGTGCATACCCTAAAATGCACCTTGCCTGTGCGCCTAGGTGCACCTCAAGCACACATTTTAAATCACTACTTGACATTACCATAATTTAAGTGACCAAAGAGTTATTTGGGGCAGGGTTTTGGCCTATTTTAGAGTTTGAAAATATTGGGGATGGTAGTTAAAATATTTGTAATTTTTTCAGTTTTGTTTTGATAATTAACAGAAACTTTAAATAATAATAAGTAAATAAGATACAAGAGGAAGGAGGGGTAAAATCCCTTAGCCCTCCCTAGAAGTAATTTTTTTGTTGTTTCAGTTTATGTTCTTTTTCCTTTCATGGGTGGTTGATTACTCATCACCTTACCTGATTGTAATCTTCTTAATTTTATTTAATGGAATTGTCTTTTTTATTTATTACAAAAAAAAAAACACCTGAAGCACCAACCAGATACACAAACAAATAACCAAATGAAGCACCAAAAAATATATTCTAATAAATCACTAAAACAAAAAACCAAGCCACCAACCAGATGCTCCAACAGATCAAACTTAGCCATCAGAAAGCCAACCATATGCATAATACAGGCCAGATCTGGTACCTAAAATGTTAGGACTGGAAACCCAACCAATCCTAGGAATTTAATATATAATATATATAATATTTTATAGTATATCCACATATATATGCATATTAATAAATTAATAATATGCATAATAAAAGTTTGTATGTAATTTTCATTAATTTTGAATGCAAATTAAATTTAAATTTCTAGTTTTTTAGAAAAAAATAGTTCTATTATCTTATGCAGGCATACAGCCTGGCCCAGGCTGGCCCAGATGCCAATCCAGCCTGGCCCAGGCTGGGCAAGGCAACTCAAAATGCTTTTAATACCCTATAAATACCTGGCCCCACCCATGGTCATCCCTTTCTTATCATCCCTATTTCTATTCATTTTGACTGTAGGCATAGTGTTGTTTTTATATGCTTTGATAATCTTTTTGGGACTCTGATTTTGGGAGAACTAGATTTTAAGGGAGCATAAGATGTGAACTCTAAGAAGGATTTTGGAGAGTGGAGAAAGTTTCGGGAGTTGAAAGTTAACCTAGCCAAATGTAGCTTGGTGGAAAACCAAATGGCAAAGATTGGAGTCTGTGGCTATGCTAGGGTGTGAAATCGAGATTAATACTTGTGACTTGCTACAGAAAAGGAGACCCCATTACTGCATATCTCCATATTGCTGTTTTCTTTGCAAAGCAATTGGGATTGGTTCCTTGCATTATTTGATTGCAGGTGGATTCTCCTGTTGACTTGGAGAGCTTCTTTGCTCCCACTTTGTTTGGCTGAAGAAGAATATTTATAGATGTAAATATGAAGTTAAGCCAGGTTCAGGTTGGTCAAGGCCTCAACCCTAACCCAACCCAAAGTGAAGTTGGGTACATGGGTTCATACTTTTCAACCCTAACCCCAACCCAGAATCCAACCCAACCCAACCCCACTTTTTCAGGCTGGGTTCAGGTTGGGACATTGGGTTCGGGCTAACCTGGTCCATGCTGTTGACTGTTCATGCTTGTGATAAGTATGGTGTTTTCTTCACTTACTGAAATGCATTTTGTTATTTATCAAAAAAAGTAAGTAATGGGATTCCAACCCATAAGTTCATAACCACTGGCCATTGGATCTGTGACCAATAGCCCACTAAGAGCTGTACAGAAATCACACATTAAATTAGTTACCCATATTTTGTATGGATTATTACCTATAACTTTAGCAAACTTATGTCAAAGGTCAGGATTGTATCCAGTCTACACCTCCCAAGACCCCAGATAGCTAGGACCAACATTGGGGAATGGCCTTTTGGCCTATAACCTTGATTTATCCTTTTTTTGAAAAGTAATAATTAAATTCATAAAGAAAAAGAAAGAATACAATGAAAAAGGTGGCCTATAACCTTGATTTATCTTATGCCTCAAGGTGAACACCTCATCTCCCAGAAACCAACCATCTGCCTTTAGCCTTAGGTTGTTTCTTATTTGAACTTCAAGCAGTAAAACAAAAGAAGACTAGAATACCCTCCACTCGCTGCATATAAACTTATGAAGGCCTTCATTTCTTTAGAGAAGTTAATGAAGTATTGTGTTCTGCTACTTACTGTCAGAGTGATTCTAACAACTGGGATGCTGATGCCTGAATGTTTTGGACATGAGGCCAAAAGAAACTGCTAGAGCTGACTCCAGTAAAATATATCCCTCATTTTTCTTCTGTTCGTATCAGGGGCTTCACGATACGCCCCTACAGGGGATGTTTCAGGGCTTAACCCAGTTCAGGGGGTAGACAGGCCTTAAACCATTCGGGGTTGTACAAAGGACCTTTTACTTTAATACAATCATACTTCACCTTTTCTCAAAAAAAAAAGGCCTTAAACCGACCCCTCTGAACCAGGTTTAAAAAAACTACAAAAATATATAAGAGAAATGAGCTTCGATACAGGCCAATACGGCCCTACCGGCGTATCGATATTTTGAACCTTGGAATAGGCCCAAGTTCATGGGCTTTAACTTCAATTACGGGTATCATGGATGTGGACCTACAATAATGGGCATAAAGGCCTAATACCAAGCCTGGGCGTTGTTTTCAGCCCATTTGTTCTTTCCTTCATTGAGACTGCTTGTGCATATTCTTTAGATTCATTGATTTGCTCTTGGTTTATTAGGGTGTTGTATAATTTTGGCTGCATGGATAGTGATGAGGTTATTCTCTTTTTTTTTTTTTTTGAGAAAAGTTAGCTTACCATCAAAAATAAAAACATAAAGTAGTACAGGTCTCCAGATAACAATAGTATTGGTATTAGCTCAAGGAAGTACCTGCTCAGATCCCACACCATAAGCCTTCTGCCAAGACAGCATGAAGCCAATATAGTCTCATTCTTTGGATTCCATCCAACTTGGAAAACCTCCTCCCTGTTTTTCATAATAACAAAGTAATACCATGACATGTTCAGTTAAAGCTTTGCTACTTCCACTTTTCAGAAGTCAAAAACTGAAGTAAAAATTGCAGAGATCCACAAGAAAACAGAAACAATGTCAAACAAATAAAAGAAAGAAGCATCACATGTCAAGAGGATGCTTACTTGTGACAATCAAATGTGTGCAGTGCTGTATTGATCTTGCGGAGGTCAAATAGCTTAACAGTTTTATCAGTCGAACCCGTTGCAACAACCCACTCATTAAAAGGATTGAATGCTAAGCAATTAACCTATTACATAAATACACAACATGGAGAATACATCAACAAGGAGCATGCTTGCATATACAATTCATAACTCAAATTCTGAAAATGAAGCTTAGAGAACATGTAAAATCATATAAAAGGAATTAAGTTGTCAATCCTAATAGAGATGAATATAACAAAGAAAGACATGCAATGGGAAGATGGATAACCAAGCACATTCAGCATCCAGCTTCTGTTCTGAAAATTGGACTGAATCATGAGTACAAACAGTAGAAAATATTGAATGAAATAACCAAATCATAGTCCAAAGCCTCTATCTGGATAAATAAAGAATGCAAATAACCTTCACAAAGAAAGGCCACTGATTCCAGGAGAAAATCTTGGGTTATGAAATAGCCCATACAGTGAAGAATCAAAACTGGTTTTAGCAAACCATGAGGTATTTCACAAAGGATACCATATCACAGCCTCACTGTTAAGTTAGTAAAATATCAGGTAAAACAAAGCTATTCAACACAAGAACGTATATCCAATGGTATCACCACTCATATATGTAGGAACAAGGATATATAGATTTTTTTAGTGGTTGGCTTCCGAATTTATCAACATAAACATATAAACTTCCTGTTTTTCGATAATATATAAAAGTAAGAACATCAATCTTCTAGAGAAGCGAGAATTGGTGAATGAGCACCACAACATGTCCTAAACACATAGACTCCACTGCAATGAGCTAGAATGTTTCCTGACAAAATACAATTGAAAATGTAAAAGCAATAAGCTATGATCATGCAGAATTTACCAACTTTGAGTTGTAATAAAAAGCTGGAATATGTTTGGTAATCCAATAAACAGTAAATTCAATAGCAATGCAAAAAATTAAATACCAATAAATTCAGTAGCAAAGCATAAAAATTAAATAAAAAATTTACATTAAATGTAGTGTTTATAGGAGGAATCTGTGGATCATGAGAACTTACCTCACCTTGATGAGCAACAACAGACTGGATTGGTTTGTTGCTTGATGGTGAACGTAAATCCCAAATAAGAAGATAGTGATCATCTCCAACTGAACCAAACAAATATTCATGCCTCAGATGCCATGCAACATCTTCCACAACACCTTCATGGACCTATTTTGACAAGAATTCCAGAGTAAGCCCATTAGCTACAACTCAAACAACTTGGCAATATTAGATACTAATCAATTTCTTTTTTATCAATAAGATACTTATCAAATTTCTTTCCTTGATCTGCTAAACTACTGCTGTTTTCATATTAAATAGATCTGGAATCGCAATCAGTAAATAGATTTTAATGATTGCTCAATAGAAAACAGTAAAGTGTTTTCTTTTTTCTTCTTTTCTTGTTGAGGAGGGGAGGGGAGCAAACAACTAAGACTGTGCTATGGTCCTAAGTGTTAAAGGGCTTGGCCTGATACACTCCAACAGTCTTAAGGCTTCTGTCATATTGGTCAAGCATGTAACAAATGATATCAGAGCCTAACACCACATCTCAAGTTCAAATCATGAAGAGGGCTACCTGGTAGAAGGGCTATTTAGAGCATAGTGAAAACATTCATGGAAAGGGCTACCTTCCACTAGAGTGAGAGCTGCCCAAAGTGAAGCTGTCAAGATAGCTGCAGAAGAGTGGTGGTGGTATGTTACAGTCCTAAATGTTAAAAGGCTTGGCTTGACGTATTTCAACAGTATTTAAGGCTTTTAGCGTATTGGTTAAGCACATATCACATTGCATGGTACATTGAGCACATCACCACTTAATAGGGTCCTCAATCTAATCAAAAGATTTTTCTACATAAATTGCATTTGGATTTTCAGCATCATTCCATGGAACAGGTAATATAACGAGGAGATGTAGGAGTCCATGACACCTTCCAAACATTTCTTCCATTATTAATTAATTACTTGAATAACTTATGAAGTAACACATTAAGCAAATTTGAGCCATCAGAATACCAGACTTTTCTTTATGGGTGTGCAGGAACTTTAGACCAGACAATAACAAATTCATAAATGCATACAAGTAGAAGATAAACAGACATAGAGAAAGAGTTCCAACCTTGAAAATTTGCTGAGCCTCAATAGCCTTGTTCTTAGGAGTTGCATTGATGTCCCACAAGCATATCTGAGCATCATCAGAGCCGCTCAAAAGATGGCCCTGCTTGAACAGACTCCAAGACAAACCATATCCTTCGGTGTTGTGGCCCCTCAATCTCAAGTCAGGATTGCATGCACCATCTAAGGGGGGCTTAGATGGGTGTTTGCTATAATCAAAAACATAGACCTCTGCACTAACAGTCTTTGTTGCAATAATAAATGGGTTTTGAGGCATATAACGAGCACGGTTCACCTCTCCATCATGATTTATTTGCTGGATTATTTGTACCTGCAAATCGCAATTTGAAACAATGACCAAGGCCCTCAACTGCATATTCATAACATCAATGAGCCTTCCTAATGGAACTCAACCCCACAATCAAGATGTATTTGAAAGCAAGCCCATCTGCATATGAACAGTGAAGGAAACATTCCAAGACTAAACATATAGGTAGCAAATCCTTGTAGATTAAAAGGTGATCAAATAAGAAAGAAGGGCAGCCCAGTGAACTAAACTCCAGCCATTAACAGTCTGGAGAGGGAAAGATGTACACAGCCTTACTCCTACACATACTTTGAACCCTGGTCACCCAAGGTCACAATGGAGCAACCCAACCATTGCACCAAGGCCCACCTCAAAAGCTGAACAAATCATCAAATGTATTTGAAAAAAAAAAAAAAAACATTTTAAGAACATATTTTTTTATCAACTTGCATTCTCTCACAACTCAACTAAGTCTTGCCCTAACTATAGAAAAGGTCATTTCCCAATGTCGGTGCCAGATATCTGGGGCCTTGGGAGGGGTAGACTGGGTACAGTCCTAACCTTTGGCATTTCTTCACACAAAGTGGCCTCCCCCATACTCGAACCCTTGTCCCAAGCCCAACTATATGGTTCATAAATGCATAAAAGTTTCCAGAACAGTTCAACTTGTGTAAAACTTGGTGACAAATAACAGGGCTTGGTCAGTAATGCCATATTTGACACTCTTTACATTTTTTTCTTTTAATTTTTTTAAAGAGCAGCTAGGATACAAATGAGCATGGGCCAGGCCGGGCTGGATTTTGACACTGCATTAACAATCTTTAGGATTGCCCAGGCCTGATAATATAATCTTCCCAGGCCCAGTCCCAGGCCAGGCTGGGCTACTAGGCTTTCCCACATTAATTAAAAAAATTATGGTTTTTATAAATGAAAAGTGTAATTTAATTTTATAACCAACATTACTGAAAAAAAAATGTATACAAAATTGTTATCCATATATTAATATATTATGTCATAAATACATATATACGTGCCATATATATACCATATATGCATAACTTCCGAGCCAGGCTGAACTGGGCAGGGTCATAAATGATCATCCCTAACTTAGAAGTTATATCTTACATTTTCTATCTTCGGCATTTTCTTACCTCATAAAAGGTGCTACAAGTTATAGTATTGTTAGCAAAATATTAACAAAGAAACAGAATATCCTTATTAAAATTTCTGTGATAACCCAGCCCTTTAAAATCCCTATCAGTGAACGCCCAAGAACTAAGCGTTCCTTTGATCTAGCATAGCATGGTCTATTAATCCAAATTCACCTTCTTGATGATCTGAACATTCCTTTCCCTCAAAATACACCAAAAAACAGCCATTGAAATCAGACCCCATAGGATTTCACCTCTCCTTCTCAAGCCTTTCAAAAACCAGCTTTCAAGGAAGGAGATGATAGATCATAGATAATGGGAAAAAACCAATACAACCAAAAAAAAAAAAAAACTCCAGAACTACACTGCACACCTTATTTATAAACTTTTTTAACCCTAAAATTTACTCCCGGCAGAGGGGTGGCCACCGTTGAATTCTATTAATCAAGCAAAATTGAAATAAAACAACCTCGGAGAGAGGGACGTAGAATCCTTACCTCTCTAGAAAAAATCTATAAATGAGATGCTCCAGTTCATAAATATACAAATAAAAGTCTGAAGGACCTCAAAAAGGAAAATCAGCAGGTTCTCGAAAATGGAAAAGGGAGACCATCTGCACAAGTGCACTCACGAGAGCTTTGAATGTACTCCAGTCTCCCATACTAGATTCATAATTTCCCTTACAGGTTGTCTAAGGGTCCAGATTCCCAAACTGTTCATTTGCAGCCAACCTATTACCAACTTGGATTCCCATAAAGTCATTGTTCCCATTTCAAATACAACCACTACTGCCACTCAATCTGGGGTTCCCTCTAGAAGCCCCATCAACATTCACCATAACTTGGCCACGTAAAGGAGGAATCCTTCTAACCAATTTCATTTTCTCCAGCTTTTTTCTCCTAGGTTCGATACCTAGCGCCAGCAAATGATTCCCTTCCATTTTATTAGCATCACCAGAAAAAGTATAGGGAAATCAACCTATTTAATCCAGAAAAGCATTTCATGAAAAATGGCCAATGAGCTTCTAAACTTACCTTCCATCCATCTCCTATTTCTCCCCCTCCAGACTCCAGATCTTCCAGATGATAGAACAAAGGAGACAACCCACTGTAACATGCTCAAATCTCCTACCCACAAACTCTTCCCACGTCCATACCAACAGGACACTACAGGCACGCATTGGGAATATTTCGCTTGTCATTCATATTTCATAGGGAGATGTTCCAATATACAGTGGTAGTGTCTTGTGGGTATGAATGTGGGAACAATTTGTGCGTAGGAGATCTGGAGTGAATTGTAACATCCTAATGTCTCAATTCAACCGCTACTTGCCACCTTCTCAACATTTGGAGACTGATTTGTTAGGGATCTCTATAATGTTGAAAGATTAACTAGAAAACCAACAAATTTTCTTAGCTAGCACACTATATAAGAATAAGTGTTGGGAGTCTTCAATGGATGAATACTTGAATAAGTAACTGACTATAACCTCTTCCCTTCCCAGTTTGACACCCCTAATTAAACCACACAATCCGCTGCTCTAGAGATGAAGTAAGGACATCAACAATTAAGGTGAACAAGAAAGGGGATAAAGGGTCACCTTGTCTGAGGTGACACCCCTGAATTGGACCCATTCACAAGGATTGAATAGTGGCACAACTGCAAGCACCTCTTGATCCATTTTTCCACTTCGCCCTAACACTATACTTTTCCAAAACAACCTCCAAAAACAACTAGTCCACTGGATCATGAGCTTTTCCAGTTTTTCCCAGGTCCAACTTACAAGCACAACCATTTCCTCCTAATCTCCTCAACCTTGGAGGCACTCATTGGTGATAGAATTTAATTTGTTGTCTGTGTCCGATGAATAGAAGCTCCTTGGTATTATGAGGTTATGGATGAAAGCACCTCCTTTAGTCATAGGAAAAGCACATTAGTGACCACTTTATAAAGATTATTTTTGGGGTAATAGGCATCAATTTTTTAGGACAAGGGCCATCGAAGTTACATTCACATGGATGATCCTCCTATCAAAAAACCCATTAAGCACCTCTAATGGATTATTCTTAATATTCTCTAAACAATCTCAAAGAAACCCATAGGGGAGCAATCCAGCCTAGTGATTTAGCCCTATCCATAGAGAATGTAGCTTTATTCAATTTTCCCCCCATTCCCATATCCAGCCTGAAGAAATCCCTTTGTACTTTCTCAATTTTTCAGCAATGGCTGCTGGAAATTTTAATAAAGAAAGGAAACAAGTAAGTAGGTTTGCCAGTACAATCTTCATTAATGTTGTTTTTCCTCTAAGGCTGAGTTTGGAAGGAGTACAAATGCAAATATGTAGAGTGCAAAACCTTATATTTTGTATTACTTTGTACGTATTTACACTGTACATATTTGCATTTGTACTCTTTCCAAACTGAGCCCAAGTGACACGTATCTACATTACCACCTCACCAACCTTTTTAACAAATCTCTCCAAAATTAGGTTGCCTCAATATCATTGACGCTTCTGCTCCTAAAGGCAATCCAAAATACATAAAAGGGAATTCTCTAATCAGGCATTCTAAGACAACAACACACTCTTTCAGAATTTCACCCCTTATGCCCCCAACTCCAATCATTACAATCTTAGCTAAGTTGACTTTCAACCCCAGCAGCAAACTCCTTAAAATGGTCGTTAGATTTAATACTTTCTCAACCAATGCAATGATGCATCTAGAAAAAACAAGAGTGTCGGTTTGCATATTGAAGATGTGAAATAGTTAGCCCATTGATACCTGCTTGAAAGCCACTAATACCCTTTTTAGCAAAATACTAGTATATCTACCACTAAGGCAAATGATAAAGGGGGAAACGGATCCCTTTCCCCTAACCCTCTTGACGAATGGAATAACTCCATACAAACCCCATTCTACATGGTCATATCCAGGGCCTCCTGGTGATCCAGCCTAACTGGTTTTGGTTTAGGGAAACGAAAAGTAAGGACAACCAGGGCCCCTGAAAAAGGGTGCTTTGGTTTATAAAAACCAAAGATACAGCTAAAAGAGATGGCATAACATTATTGAATTCTTCAAGCACCGAAAGGAACCGACAGGCTTAGAATGCAAGAACAATAAACCACATCAGAGGATAATCAATTACCTTCCCATTAGCACATCCAAAGCCCCCGATCTCCCCGCGTTCGTCTTCGTACTGTCGGGCATCGTTCTCGGCATCCTCCAAGGGAAGCTGGACCTGAGCCAGCATCAAGTAGTTGGGCTCGTTCTCCGAAGTGTGAGTCCCCAAAATCATCTTTTGCACCGAGTAGTCCTTCCCTGGCGGCTCCTCCCGATCAGGGAGCCATTGTACCGTAAGAGAAGGCCATTCTAGAGCGTGTGTTATGACCAGATCGTATAGAAATGGGGTGTTCTTCTTCCATATCTTGTATTCCTCGTTGATTAATCGTTCCTCCATCTCTCCCCTGAATTCCTCCTCGTCCTTGGCCATTCTTCTTTGTTCTTCTCTAGAGTCTCTCCTTCCTTCTCTCTCTATTTTTCTTTTTTGAAAATTAGCAAGAGAGAAAAAAAGAAACGCTGGAGTATGACGGAGAGGAATGGGAGGGAAATAGTGCGAGCGGGAAAGGGAGGAGTGGTGATAGAGGGACCGAAAAGGGTTTTGAGGAGGATTTTGATGTTGGGATGTCCTCTCAAAAAAACATGTTTCAATACCCTTCCAACATCATCTCACACCGCATATCTCACCATGATAATGAGACCCATCATAAAACTGGAACCCACCACCTATAAGATTTATAAGATTTATGGTGTGAGATCATATTGGAAGGGTGTTGTCGTGTTGAAACTGAGACTGGATTCCTCATACGCACATCTTATCATGCATTGGGAACATCTCTCATGCTTATTATTCATGTATTCATGGGAGATGATCCCAATGGATGGTGGATGTGCCTGTGAGGCGCCCATTTGTGAGGAATAGATCCCGTAGTATGTGTTTGGTTTTGTTTACTTTTAGTGAGGAAGCGTTTATTGACGATGCCCGTATTGAAATTTGCAAAAGCAAACTTCAGTTTTTATTGTCTCTCCGTCTTAGGAAACTTCATTTTGGAGTTTCCTGAAATGGGTAGGCATTTATTGGCATTTTGCTAATGTGGTGCTGTGTTATAAACGTCTTCATTAATTGTTTTTCTCAGTTTTGTAATCACACAAGTACAAAACGTTTACTAAATAAATGTAAAGGAAACCAAACACCCTCTTAGAAACGTATTTTTTAGCAAGTGATTTGGACTCTTGCCAGACACCCCCTAAGTGCATATAACTATGAAGCAAGTCCTGATCACCACCTGTCAACAAAATACGTCCCAACCCTCTACCAACATAATCTCACACCGCAAATCCCATACATGGTTGGTCGCATTTTCATAGTGAGGTGTGCTGTGTTAGATCAAGATCATGTTTGGGAGTGCTTAAAAATAAGTGTTTATTTGGGCCATTAAGCACTTGTTGGTATTTGGAAAATAAGCCCGAAATAAGTGTTATTTTCAAAATAAGGGCTTAAAAAAATTTCCAACTTTTTTAAGTGCTTATACAATAAGCACTTATTCAATTTTTTTCTTCCAAAATTATCTCTAGTTAAATTTTAGAATACCACTTAAAAAATTATCCCTAGTTAAAATTTAAAATACCACTTACAAAATTATCCCTAGAATTTTATAAAAGTGTTTTCATAAAAGTACTTTCATTGAAGTGCTTTCATAAAAGTACTTACATAAAAGTACTTTCATATAAGTGCTTTTATAAAAGTACCTTTATGAAAGCACTTTCGAAGAATTGCTTTCATAAAAGTACTTTTGTTAATGTGCTTTCATAAAAGTATTTTTGTAAAAGTATTTTCGTAAAAGTGCTTGCATAAAAGTACTTTTATAGTACTTTCATAAAAGTACTTTTATAAAAATACTTTCATAAAAGTGTTTTTATAAAAGTAATTTAATAAAAGTACTTTCATAAGGGTATATTTTGAAAATTTGAAAGAAAATGAAGGGCAAAATAATCACAAATTCTTATTTAAGTGCTTATTTTAAATAAGCACTTGAAAAAGTTGGGTGCCAAATGAAAATAAGTGCTTATTAAAATAAGCACTTATTTTTAACTCAAGCACCCCGAAACATGGCCCAAATTGGTAAAGGGTTGGAACGTGTTTTGTTCATAGAAGATCTCAATTCCTGGAAAGCCCCACATTGTTTGCAATAGGTGTGCCACTTGAGTGGGCCCAACTAGAGCCCAGTCAAACTGTATCCCAACCCTACCTTGGCACACTATATACATAGACATGCATATATAGATTCATTATTTACAGACATACATGCATATATGTGTATTAAGTTTTAGTATAGTGTAATTGACTAAACCAAGCTTGAACTAGGCCTAAACCCAACCCAATTGCTTTAATTTTTAGTGCAAGTTGGGCTCAAGTTGAATAAATCAGGCTTGACCTCAAGCTCAAGAAGCTTAATTCTTAAGGTTGGACATGGGTTGAGCTTAAACTCAGCCCAACCTATTTGGCTTACAACCTTAGTTAATTTGCACTTTGTTTTCTACTTGTTCATACCTACAAAATTGAAAAATGACTTTTTGTCCTTATGTTTATTTACCTTCAAGCAAAAAATCTATTTTGACCTTGGTTAAAATCAAGTATAATGTATATCCAATGGTATGGTAGAAGAAAAGAAGAGGAACGATGGAGAGAACTACAAACCTTAATGAGAATAGGAACCTCAATGTTTGTTCTTCCTATTGATCTTCGATGAAGAAGCTTAACCTAGATAAAAGATAGAAACTAACTAATTAGAAGAGGGTTAGGCTAAAGTTTGACAATCAAGGTAATTTATTGGCCGCTACATATCGTATCAAAGACTTCCGAACATGCCCCTACAGGGAAACTTTCGAGTCAAACCCTAGTTCAGGGGCTAGAGGAGCCTTAAACTGATCCCTCTAAACCAGATTAAAAAAAAAAAAAAAAGCTAAAAAAAGGGAAGCGAGCCACAATATATAAGCTAATACACCCCTACCGGCATATTGGCCTGTATCGATATTTTGAACCTTGATATCTATAATAAAAGAGATATTTTCACATTTTTTGTGTTTTGTCAATAGTCGAATCTTTCTTTCAAAATTTACCCTTATAATTTTCTATTTATTTTCCTTAAGCATATACCCCAATGACCCATGCCTTATAAAAGGAGAGTTTCATGCTCTCCACTCTTAGCTATTTGAGAGCTCGCATCTACGGCAGTGTGGCAACCATTAATTATCGTATATTTATTTACAAGAATAATACTCTTTACTTTCTTTGTTTGATTCTTTATGTATCAACATTCTCTTCTTATGTCCCTAGTCTTCTTTTTCTCTGCCTCAATTTTTAAGTTGTATCATGGGTTCAACTTCTCTATGTGTTGTGTTACACATGGATTATCAACATCCACAAGCCTATATAGTCTGTCAACAAGTGGAGATTCATCAATCATGGAGAACAAAAATATGTGTGTGTGTTATTGCGTTGGAGCTTTAATTTGTTTTCATCATCTATAGTTATGCTCACACAACCGTTAAAGAATGGGTTAAGAATTTAATGGGTATACTTCATTTGTTGCTTTGTTCATTTTAATTTTACCAAAATTATTATTAGGGTTCTCTAAGTTGATACTTTTGGGCATTCTATGCTGAAAATAGAAAGCTTGTAGCTCATTCATGTCTAATTTCATCATCAAGATTTTTGTCTCACACCGATTTTGGTACCTGTTTCATTTTTATTTTTATAGAAAACTTTTTTGTACTCTATATACCTTGCTTCGTTCAGATGAATACATGGTTGAGGGCACACATTTCAGCTTGTCAAGAGACGATTTCAAGATTTTTGTTCCATATGCATTAAAAAAAAAATGAAAATCTATCATTTGCCTCCAAGGTTCAAAGTATTGATACAATACGCATATTGGCCATATCGTATCAGTATATCGATACAATACACATATTGGCCATATCGTATCAGTACTTAGAAATGTCTGAAACACCTTTTTTTTAGTTTTTTTTTCAAATTTTGATTTTTTGGGAAGCTTAAAACGCGTTTTTTATTTTTAAAAAAGTTGGGGATCCAAAACACCTGGAAATAGGCATTTCGGACCATATATTTTTCAAAAGATACGATCGTATTGTATGAATACTTTAAACCATGTCTGCCTCATGTTAATTTGTGACTTTTGGATTTTGCTTGAAATAACCATTTCACATCCATTTTTTGATAATCCCCCAATTTGCAATTGTATTAAGTGACTTCACATAGAGTATACTAATTTGTTTATTTGCTAGAACTAATATTAAAGGGCTTGATGTTGGTGGATAAAACCTTTTGGGTTGGCATCTTCTTTACATGGAAACTAAAAGCCTTACCCTAAGTATATGCTTAAAAAGAATAAGAAAAGGGACATTGTCAAAAATTCACCATGAGTTTTTAGCATTTCTCTTAAACTCACCACAACTTTTCAAAATGTTTAAAACTCACCATGTCACTAACTTGACATTAAAGAGACTAACAGTTGTTAATATATTACAATTTTAACCTTCATAGAAAAATATAAAATATATACATATATTTTAATATTTATATATGAAAAAAGGAAAAGGTTCAAAAAATATTTTCAAATATAAAATACATAAAAAAACAGAAATTGGAAAAAATATAAAAATTATAGAAATTGCACACAAAATAAAAAATTATTTTCAAATTGTAGAAACTATAGAAATTGAAAAACAAATTAGAAAATAAAAAATTGTAGAAAAAACACCAAAAATTATACAAAAGCACAGAAATTGCAAATAAATAAAAAAATACAGAAAAATTTATAGATTGTAGAAAATAGAAAAATGTAAAAAAAAACAGAAATTATAAAAAACAATAGAAATTATAACTAAACTCTAAAATGTAAAAAAAAATGAAAAAGACCCTTTTCCTCTAACTCATCATTCAAGGGTGATTTGGTCATAAAAATTGTTATTTGTGCTGACATGGACACCTCTGTTAAGAAACATTAATGGTGTATTAACGGAAGGTGAGTTTTGAAAAATAAAAACTTATTGACATGGTGACGTTTTGAAAAGTTGTGGTGAGTTTAAGAGAAATGCTGAAAACTCATGGTGAGTTTTAGACAATTTCCCATAAAAAAAAGACTAAAATGGCAGTAGCCCATTATTAGAATCACTTATTTTTCTCAATGAAAGTTCTCTTTTTATTATATTTACAAAATAAATCAAAATTTACTCCCTTCTTGTCAATTTAAGGCAAAACAACTTTTGATTTAAAGCATGAAGAACATGCTCATTTAGTTATTATTAAAGGTTGAAACTAATTATCAATTGATTAAAGAGGGGGAAGTTGTGTTAATGCTCATTCAGTCCATCTCTTGATTTTACATTGAATTTTCTATTTAGTAAGACAGATTCTGAATTTCATTAATCACATCCTTACTATCCAGGAAATTAAATTTCATTTTTTATGTTACCAAGCATAAAACAATGGTTGATAGTAATCCAATAAGCAGTGGTTCAACAATCTTAAGAATGAACATGTGTGCCTTGACATGATATATAGAGAAAGCTTTTAAATAATTTGTAGGGGTTAGTTAATCTTAGCTTGTAAGTAATTATTTTGGTTCAATTGTCCCATTGTTATGAAACGCTTTATTGTACTCAAGAAAGTTTTGTAAATTAATCATTTAGTTTCCACATTCTCGAAGTATTATAGGATTTCCTTCTATAAGCTTATAGACATTATTGATTCTAATTTGAAAAATTGTTCTATGTGTTTTTCCAAATTGATCAATTTTCTTTTTAAGATATAAACAATAAATCTATAACTTACAAGAAAGGAAATGATATTTTTAATGAATGGTAGGGATTTCAAATTCACCATTTAGTTTCCTTCTTTTTGAATTGTTGTATGATTCCTTCCATTTGTTTGTTTATAGGCGTAATTAATTAGTTTTGTTTGTTTTCTAAATTTATGTTAATTAATGACCTTAATACTTTCTTCTTTATATCAAGTCTTTTCTCATCTCCAAATAAGTTTCTTCTTCTTGCAAGTTTTTAACTTTTTCCCTTAGGTTATTGTTGCCAAGTTTCTTTATGATAATTAATTGAAGAAGGAAAACCAAATTAATGAGATAATTTTCATATTTTTTGGCAACATTTTAGGGGGTGGATCAATTAAAGCTAAACTTCAATCAATCATTGATTTTCAAATGCATGTGCATAATAATGAATAAGATGTGTACTCCTAGATAGGGGTGGAGCTAGGAATTTTTTATAAGGAGCCAAAACATAAAGTAGATAGGGGGGAGGGGGGAATAGATATGGATGGGTACATAGAGGAACCAACCATTAAGGTGGAGAGTGGGGGAGCGGAAAATTTACATGGAAAAATGTATTGTAAATGGGTATTTCCAGACCATGGGGGCAACATGGTTCCCTTAGGTCCTCTAGCTCCACCCCTACTTCCAGAAGTAATACATAATAATAGCTTATAGCATGGTTTTTAAAACTGACCCGGTGATTGAACCGGTTAGGGGTCCGATTATCAGGTCGAACGGTCTGACCATTCAAACTGAATGCTTAGCCCGTTCTGACAGAGAAATTAAAAATTTTTCAAAAATAAAAATGATCAAAACTGTTTGAGCGGTTTGATGGTTCAAATGATTAATTGCCCGGTTCAACGGTTCATTAACCAAAATCAAAGGTTTTAAAGAAAAATCCAATTTTTAGGAAAAACGGAACTGATCACCTGATTGGTTCCCGATTTTTCGGTCCAGTTTGGTTTTGAAAACCATGGCTTATAGTGGTAAGCCATTGATCTAGATTTTGAAAACCACCTAACATAACTATGCTATAAGCCACTTATTTTGTTTACGTAAAATTATTTCATCTTCCTAAATTATTGTTATTATAGTGGACAATTATTTCTCTCTCTATAAAAAAATTCATGTAAGGACATGATGATGAAAACCTTTATACTAATATGCAAATATGTAAATTTATATTTATGTATTCATTTACACATGTGAAACACATGTCCTTCTATTGGTGTCTTATAAGGACATTTGATGATCAAAACCAACGGTTAACTGGTCGGTTCAACGGTTTGTTGATCAAAACTAACGGTTTTGGAGAAAAAATAAAACCGATCACCTAATCGATTCCCGTTTCTTCCGATCCAACCGTCTGATCCAGTCCGATTTTGAAAAGCATGATTAAATTACATATCAGCCGTTTGACAATCCCTAATGAAGTTATAAATAGCCATTGCAGCATATACTATTATAATTTGCGACTTCATTGGGTATGATGACATGTATTTGAAAATTGGAAAATGTTTCTCAATAACTCTAAAGCATTACTTAATTACATTGAGAAAAAAAATAATTAAAATGTTCTTTTGTTCTTGGTTGTTTACCACGTGGAAAATCAAGGAGATGGTATCAAAATTATCAATATGGAGTAGTGTCCTGGAAAATTTTGATACCTTATATCAACAACATAAAATTTTCCCTATAAATATCACAAACTTAATATGATAAACATATTAAAATAAAAAGTTTTTAAATGATATTTGCTCACCTTCTAAAGATTTGAAAAGGTCCATATTTAGGTTAAGGATTATTTCCACAAAAACATGTGAATCATTCATACTAGTGAACCACATTAAAATTACATTTATAACCATTATGATTTAGTGTTTGCCTTCATTCTAATTCTAATACCCAAGGAAATGTTTGTGCCTCATTGATAGATTCAGTGAAATTCTACATAGCATAATATAATCAAATACATTATCATACACTAAACTAATGAGTTACTTTAATCATATAAAATTACCAAGATGTACCTTAAAATGTGTGAAGGGATGGCATTTGGATGAATGGGTCTTATATTACTCATCACTAATGCAGTAAATGCCAACAATGCATTATCAAAGTGTTTGCTTATTATCTTTCTAAAATAATGAAATCGGTCTTGAGTCATTTTATTTTTTGTGCCCAATTGTCATTAAAAACATCGTTACTTATTCTTAATATGGTGTTTGGAAGCGTGGGCACTTTTTAGGACTGATTTTTAATAAAAAAATGTCCATGCTTTTAAGACCCATTTTTCACAAAAAAAAAATGCTTCTGCCACGTAGGCAGTGAGCAACACTATGCTATTTGGTAAGGTGATTTTCATCACCATTTTTCATGTATGTGATGACAGGTAAGCACCACATAGGATATACATCAGTCAACGTTGGGGAAAGTGGGATCCCAATTTTAAAGACATGTCTCATTTTTTAATAATCGGCTGAACCAAACAATGAGATACATGGGTATTTGTTGAAACGCCTATATAGATCTGATGTGATACCGTTTTTTTGGAAAACGGCCACGGTTTCAAACATTCCCTAAATGTATCCATTGAGAATGGGGCTTTCAATTGAATCTATCCTTTCTCCAAGAGTTGATCTAATAGCAAAATGCTAATTTTGCCACGTAGAAGATGGCTAACTCAACTAATCTTGTTTGAACCACATTAGAACGAATTAGTTACTTTTCTATTTATTTACTCCCAGTGACCCAGTCTATGGGAAATTCGATAATTGGGATCTTGCCACGTGTGATTCAAATTTCAAAATAATTGATGACAGGACGTGTGTACATAAGGACTTTCTTGCTGCCAATAGGCCATTTTGCACATCTTCGTCACTCTCCTCGTTTGCATAGTTTGGACAAGCAGTTCCATCTACAGAAATGGAGATGTTCTACTACCTTTTGTTTGGGGGTCTTGCCTTAGTGGTAGCAATCCTCGAGTTCAGCAAGACCACCAAGGATCGTATTAATGCATCTGCTGCTTTTCATTCTTTCAAGAACAACTACCTTGTCGTATATTCTCTCATGATGGGTAAGCTAGATCTTCTCTTAACGTTCCAGAATTCTATTTGGGATATCGAATTTTTCTTGTAAAATTAGAAAGCTTCATATTTTTGTAATGTTTCCTAATATGATTTTGATTCGAGTGTCTCTACTTTTCTAGTAATTGGTTATTCTAATTAATTCCTGATGTCTACTTGATATGTTTTATGACATGGTGTTTAGAAGCGTGGGTACTTTTTCGGATTTTCCAGACCAATTTTTAAGAAAAAACGCTCATACTTTCAAAACTCGTTTTAAAAAAAAAACGCTTCTGCCACGTAGGCAGTGAGCAAAACTATGCTGTTTGGTAAGGTGATTTTCATCACCGTTTTTCATGTATGTGCTGATAGGTAAACACCACATAGGATACACATCAGTTAACCGTTGGGGAAAACAGTTCACCGTCGGTGGGGTCCCGATTTTTGAGACATGCCCAATTTTTTAATAATCGGCTGAATCAAACAATGAGATACATGAGCATTTGTTGAAACGCCTATGAGGATCCGACGTGACACCGTTTTTTTTTGAAAAACAGCCACGGTTCCAAACATCTCCTGAATTTCTCTTGATGTTATCGTTTGGGAATTGTCTTTCATGAACATGTTGGGTTCGTTGTAGGCTAGGGGTGGAGTTAGGAATTTTTTATGAGGGGCCAAAACCTAAAATAGATGGGGGGAGGGGGAATAGATATGGATGGGCCCATGGAGGGGCCAACGATTAGGGTGGGGAGTGGGGTGGAGGGAAATTTACATAGAAAAATGTATTATAAGTGAGGATTTTTGAACCAAGATGGGGACATGGCTCCCTTGGGTTCCCTAGCTCCATCCCTACTTCGACAAACAATCAGTAATAATAGCTTAAAGTGGAAAGTTATTGATCTTAGGATTGAAGTTTATATTTGACAACTCAAGTGCATAATTTTGTTGGTGGTAAGACTGCTAAGACTACTAAGCTCCACCCCTACTTCCACATTTTGAGTGCATTTCATTTTTATTTCATTATGATTTGGTGTTTGCCTTCATCCTAATACCCAAGAAAATGTTTGTGTCTCATTGATAGATTCAATGAAATTCTACATAGCAATGGATAATCAAATACATTATCATACACTTAATTGATGAGTTACTTTAATCATATAAAATTACCAAGAGGTACCTTAAAGTAGGGCCAATATCTCCTATTATGTAAAATGTGTGAAGGGATGGCATTGGGATGAATGGGTCTTATATTACTCATCAACAATGCATTATCAAAGTGTCTACTTATTGTCTTTCTAAAATATTGAAATTGGTCTTGAATCATCTTATTTCTTTTGTGCCCAGTAGTCATTAAAAATATTGCCACTTATTCTTCTATAGCCATGCATTTAGTGGAAGTGGCGTTTGATTGCACTTTTCATCTGTCTGAATCTGAAAATGTTGCTTTTTAGGCATCTTCTTTGTTTGGTATGACCTCTTATTACAGATATGAAATTGGATTTCAGATCTTAATTTCTAAGAGGTGGAGAGATTGCTTAATGCGCTCAGACCTAATTCAGAGGTGTATAAAATACATAAAATGCCCTCAAAGAAATTTTAATATTACATATTTTTGTCCTTCATGTAAATCGAATCGAACTATCCCTGTGACCTAATGAAGCTCCACCACTGCACTCTCTCTCTCTCCCTCTCTCCCTTGTCTTCCCACCACCGCCACCGCCGCTACAGCAAGTTGCAGCGGCAGCTCTCTCTCTCTCTCCCCTTGTCTTCCATCTTTCGCTCTCACTCACTCACTCTCTCTCTCTCTCTCTCTCTCTCTCTCTCTCTCCCTCCCCCGTCTTCCCACCACCACCATCGTCGCTGCAACAAGTTGCAGCGGCAACTCTCTCTCTCTCCCCTTGTCTTCCAGCTCTCGCTCTCTCTCTCTCTCTCTCTCTCTCCCCCTGTCTTCTTGTTCCCACCATTGCCATCGCTAGACCTGTTCATGGGCCGGGCCGGGCTTTCACTTGTCACTAATGAAAATGTACTAGGCCCGAGCTCGAGCCCGGCCCGACCAACGGGCCTATAACTTGGGCCCGAGCCCGGCCCTGGTAAAAAGCCCGAAACCCGAGCCCGAGCCCAAAGCCTGACCTAATTGAAAAAAAAAGCAATTTTCCCTATTCAAATTAGAATTAAAAATTTAGATAGTATTTTTTTTCTATTTAAATGAACAATGGGTCTACAAGATGGTATTTTTTCCTTTCTTTTATATTTTAAAACATAATTTTACATTCTTAAATCAAAAAAATTATTTAAATGGATATAATCACATAATTAATTTTAAGTTTAATATTAGGTCGGGCCAGGCCGGGCTATTTTGACAAAACCCGAGCCCGGCTCGAATTTATTGCAGGTCGGGCTTTTTGGCCCGAATTTAAGCCCGCGGGCCTATAAGCATGTTCAAGCCCGTCCGGGGGTCGGTCTGGCCCGTCGAGCCACCCGGCCCATGAACAGGTCTAGCTATCGCCGTTGCAAGTTGCAACGGCAACTCTCTCTCTCTCCCTCCCTCCCCTATCTTCTCACCACTGCCACTATCGCTGCAACATGCAACAACGGTGGTTTGACGAATAATAATAATATTTTTATTAATTATTTTAATACGTTAATTATTTTTTATTAAATTTACTTGTGTTATTTATTAATTATTAATTATTTTTATTAATTAGTAATTCTTAATTATTTCTTTAATTTTTAAAAAATTATTTTAATTTTATTTGTGTAAATTATTAATTATTAATTATTTTGATCTTTTTATAGTCATTAATTATTTTTTAATTTTAATCGTTTCATTTATTAATTAATAATTAATAATTTATTATTTGTATTGTTTCAATATTATTTTGAGGTTGAAAATTATTTTTTATGAGATAATGCAAATTGAACTCAACATTTTCAAATAATATATTCTAGGAGTAAAATAGTAAAATCAATAAATTTCAGATGGTAAAGGGTTGATCCAATACAAACAAACTCATGGATTCAGATTCTCTAAAAAATAGAAAAGCAACTATGCCTCTTTTCAGATTTCAAACACTTTTAATATCTTTTTAACTTTTCAGATCTGAATTTTCAGATTTATCAAACACCACCTTAGTGGGTTTTAATAACTAAATGTATCCATTGAGAATGGGGTTTTCAATTGAATCTATCCGTTCTCCAAGAATTGATCTAATGGAAAAATGTTAACTTTTTCATGTGGAGGATGGCTAACTCAGCTAATCTTGTTTGATCCACATTAGAATGAATTAGTTACTCTTCTAATTATTTACTCCTAGTGACCCGGCCTATGGGAAATTTGACAATTGAGACCTTGCCACGTGTGATTCAAAATAATTGATGACATGACTTGTGTACATAAGGACTTTCTTGCTGTCAATAGGCCACTTTACACGTCTTCGTCACTCTCCCTCGTTTATGTAGGACAAGCAGTTCTATCAGCAGAAATGGAGATGTTCTACTACCTTTTTGTTTGGGGTCTCGCCTTAGTGGCGGTGGCCCTCGAGTTCAACTCGAGGGTGTTTGGTTTCATTTACATTTATTGATGGTGCCATCATTTTCTCTCTCTTGTTCTTCTGTATGCGTTCGAAAATGAAAAAAGTGAATTTTGGTTTTTGTGCATGCCAGTCATTTGTGGAAGTTATTTTTTAAAATTTTCACAAATATCCAGACGTTTATTCACTATTATGCTGATGTGGAGCCTAGTGGCGCATAATGGCGCCTAATTGTCATAAACGCTTGCAATTATTACATTTCTCAGTTTTACCAACAAATAAAGTACAAACGTTTATTCAATAAACATAAAATGAACCAAACACACTACTATCTACTACTTTGAATTCTTTCAAGAGAAACTACCTTGTTGTATATTCTCTCATGATGGGTAAACTATATCTTCTCTTAACGTTCCAGAATTCTATTTGGGATATCGAATTTTTCTTGTAAAATTAGAAAGCTTCATATTTTTGTAATGTTTCCTAATATGATTTTGATCCAGGTGTCTCTACTTTTCTAGTAATTGGTTGTTTTAATTAATTCCTGATGTCTATTTGATCTGTTTTTTGAATTTCTATTGATGTTATTGTTTGGGAATTGTCTTTCGTGAGCATGTTGGGTTTTTTAAGCTTAGGGATTTTAGGATCTGCTTTTCAAGTGATTAAGATGTGGGATGTCGATGCCATTATTGTTCCTTATTTCGGGTGCGAAAATTCCTATTTATGTAGTCTTCTATTGTGGTTTTCATGCCATTACTCTTATGCGTGTTTTTAATCTCTTTTCTGATCTAATAATTGTGTGGTTCATAACCTAGGCTTAATCTTGCTTTAATGGGTCTTTATTGCTTTATCTTATACTAATGTACTTCTGTTTTTTTGATGAATTGCCCCATAAACCGCATTGTGATGTTTTCTCAAAAGAATGGTAGAGATCTAGTTGCTAAAACATTGGAAATGGAGCATTCTTGAAGAATGCATCACAGTGAACCATATATGGGGTGGGTTGTTTTTTTTAGGGAGCCTTCTTTTTTTGGATTTTGAGAGGGGGGAAAGTTGGTCAATGGGATTTTGGTTTTCATTGACCAAGAATCCCATATTCTTTTTTCAGATTTATGTGGGGATCATGGAAAGATTATTTTCTTAGGTACCACTTACCTGGGTAAGTGATATCCATCTCCTAGGTGGGTAAATAATTTTCCCACCTAGGGGGAAAGTTGTACTTGAATGGGACAAAAATATCCCTTTTAATAATGAATTTTTATGGCTAAAATGGTCATTACCTTATTTATATAATAAAATAAAAGAACATGAATAAATGCACTCACCTGGGGGTAAGTATTTCCCAAGAAAAACCTTCCCAGATAACTGCATTTACCTGGGTAAATAACTTACCGAAAAGCGAACGGGGCTTTACTCCTAACTAACCATAATTGTTATTTGTTTTTTCATCAGTAGCTACTTCTAACTAAATATCGTTCATCCGGCAATAGCTGGAGATTGGCTGCAGGGTCCTTATGTATATTACCTCTATAGCCAATATGGCTTTGACAAAGGGGATATCGGAAGGCTCTTTATCGCTGGTTTTGGATCCTCAATGTTATTTGGGACAATTGTAGGATCTTTGGCAGATAAACAGTAATCTCTCTCCCTCCCTTTCCCTTCCTCTTCTTGTGTGTTTCTCGTTCTTAATGCTTTTATACACCAAATTCAGGGGTCGGAAGAGGGCTTGTGTAACTTACTGTATAACTTACATCCTTAGCTGCATCACCAAGCATTCTCCTCAATACAAGGTCCTAATGTTGGGACGTGTATTGGGAGGAATTGCCACTTCTCTCTTGTTTTCAGCTTTTGAGTCATGGCTTGTTGCAGAACATAATAAGGTAAGGGTGTTCAGCAGATATCCCAACATTTGTAGCTCAAAATTTCTTGTTCAAAAATCCTCTTTATTGTCTACCTCATGTGTACAATGTTTACTGAGAATTGTCTTCCTCATTGTGGTATCCTTGTACTGTACAGAGGGGCTTTGATCAGCAATGGTTATCCTTGACATTCTCCAAGGCTATCTTACTAGGCAATGGCCTAATTGCCATTGTTTCTGGGTTGTTAGGAAATGTCTTAACTGACACACTGGGTTTTGGTCCGGTTGCCCCCTTTGATGCTGCTGCATGCTTACTTGCAATTGGGATGGCCATTATCCTATCATCATGGAGTGAAAATTATGGAGATCCTTCAGACAATAAGGACCTGCTTACCCAGTTTAAGGGTGCTGCTACAATTATTGCCTCTGGTGAACCTCTTATACAATTTTAACCTTTATTTCTTAGAGCATTACTGTTATTTGGTGAAATTCAAACCTAAACATTCACAATTGGATAAACTGAAAGAATGCCTATTCACTATCTTTTTATATGCATGGCACAAGGGGATAGAATTCCATTTAGGCTCAGTTTGGAAAGGAGTATACAAATGTGTAGAGTGCAAAATCTTGTATTTTGTATGAATTTGCACAGCACATATTTGTATTTGTACTCGTTTCCAAACCGAGCCTAATGATTTCCCTTATCTGATCTTTCAAGTGGAATTTATCAAATGGTGGATAAATTGTGTTGTTTAGGCTCTCTTAGGGCTGCAAGTCAGGCCGGGTTAGGTCGGGTTGAGGCCAACCCTAGTCCAATCCTAAGTTCTAAACCCCAACCCTAACCCTAACCCTAACTAAATTCCTTCAACCCTAACCCAACCCAACCCGAAGTCAATTTCAGGTTGGGTTGGACCCAACCCAACCTTCTTCCCAACCCTTAAAACCTCATAAATTTCTCAAATTTAGATCTTAACTCAATTTTCACTACATATATTAATCCTATGTTTCATTAGTATATGTTTGTTGACGTTTTTTTTTTTTATTTTTTTGGTACACAATTCAAACAACATAGAGTTATGGCTTACGATAGATCTTTCTTGGACGGAAAACAACATAGAGGAGATGAAGAATAAAATTTAAAAAATAAAATAATAATAATATTATTATTAAGGTTTTAGTCTTTCTGATTAGGATTAAGTGAAGTGATTATCTTAAAAAAAATATATGATACTATGTAGTGGGGGCTATACAAATATCATGCATCTAAACAAATCAATGTATTTTATATATTACATATAATGTATATTTATATAAGACATGTACTATAGAGTCGGGTTTGGGTTGGTTAAGGGGTCAACCCTAACCCAATCCGAAGCAAAGTCGGGTTCATGAATTTTAACCCTAACCCTAACCCGAACGTCAACCCGACCCAACCCAATTTTTTCGGGTTGGATTCGGGCCAACCCGGCCCAAGTTGCAGCCTTAGCCTATATTTTGCTCCATATTACCTTATGACAAAAGATTCTTTAGTATTGTTTTGGTTTTCCTTTTTGTGGGAAAACTATAACATTGTGAGTCATGTGGGACAGATGAGAAGATTGCATTGCTTGGTGCAATACAGTCACTGTTTGAAGGTTCAATGTATACCTTTGTGTTCCTGTGGACTCCTGCTTTGAGCCCAAACGGTGAGGACATACCCCATGGTTTCATATTTGCAACATTCATGTTGACGTCAATGTTGGGTAGCTCCATTGCTTCTCGTGTCATGGCACGTCCGTCCCTCAAAGTTGAGGGCTTCATGCAGATTGTTTTCATTCTTTCATCCTGCTCTTTGCTGCTTCCCGTTGTCACTACTGTACGTGGTTTTCTCCAATTTTACTATTTTCTTTCAGACAAAACTCAAAAGTGATCTCTGTCTAACCTAAGTGTTAACCTGGACAGTTCTTGGTGCCACCCTCTAGTGTGAAAGGTGGAAGCATCTCTTTTTCAGGGTGTATCCAGCTCATTGGTTTCTGTACATTTGAGGGCTGTGTAGGTATATTCTGGCCAGCAATCATGAAAATGAGGTCCCAGTACATTCCTGAGGAGGCTCGAAGTACCATTATGAATTTCTTTCGTATTCCTCTCAACATTTTTGTCTGTGTTGTGTTGTATAATGTAAGTAGGTTATCATCTATATGAGAAGAAAGGCAACAAGGTTTTCTTTATCAATCACTGCTTCTGCTATCCCTACTTTGGATAACGGTTTGTTTTCTTCTTGTTGTGAAGGTTAATGCATTCCCCATCACTGTTATGTTTGGCATGTGTTCTATCTTCCTCTTTATGGCAGCAGTCTTGCAGAGGCGGCTCATGGTGCTTGCAGAGAGCTACAAATCAAGTTAAGTTCTACACATGGTTTAAACTATCGATACGATGCGCCCTGTATCGGGCGTATCGTATCGTATCTTTTGGAAAAGATATGATCCGAAATGCCTGTTTTCAGGTATTTCGGACCCCCAATTTTTTTAATAATAAAAAACATGTTTTAATATTCTCAAAAAACCAAAATTTGAAAAAAAAAACTAAAAAAAGTGTTTCAACCGTTTCTAAGTACCGATACGATACGACCGATATGCGTATCGTATCGATACTTTGAACCTTGGTTCTATACTATTATTGAGGAGTTAAGTGTCAGAGTATTCATGAATTTATTAATAAGTTAAGTCTCAATTGGTTGGTGGTAAGGCTTGGTCAATAACTAAGGTTATTTCTTACAATTTACTTTTGACTTTCTCCCTATCATTGGTTTTTTACTTTTGTGTGTATATTGAGAGTTGGGGGGGGAGATTGTCTATTATTATAGACTGACGACTAGTATCCTATGAACCCAACATTTTAAAACTGTTGTTTAACAGATGTGTCCATTATTTGACGGTTTAACCAGATGGATTATTGAAAATTGAAGTGCTTGATTGGCCTGCTAAACTAGTAACCAGAGAATGAAAATTGAAAATTGAAGTCTAGGATGGTTTTGAAACATTGATAAACCTAAAATTGCTGAAAAGTTTAACCTCTTGCTTCTGAATTTGTTGCAGAGCAACAGGATTGGACGTCAATGAAAGAGAGGGATACAGAGACAGAGCCGTTAAACATATGATTGGTATCAAGATAAATAGAACCCACATAGAAATTTGGAAAAAGGTTAGAGAAACAAGAAAATCCTTTTTTGGTTAATGGAAAACACCGGTTCTATTGTCACTTGTTGTTGCAGCAAAAGTCTAAATAAGGAGAATATAGAGGAAATTTCTTGATTTGTTTGAAGAGGGGATGCATCTCTAAAGGATAACCAGTTGGCAAAGGCTAGATTCCAAACAAATAGCAATATATGTAGTGAAGAGTGGGAGCTAGGACTATTTTAGCTGTTTAGGATGTTGTTACAATATCCTAGCGCCCTGAAAATATCAGGTATATGTTGGTTTTAATTCTTGGAGAGTTCAATTTTCAAATATGTAATTAATTGATCCCTTAACCACTTTACATCCATTTTTGATAATCCCCCAATTTGCAATTGTATTAAGTGACTTCACATAGAGAATACTAATTTGTTTATTTGCTTAAACTGATCTTAAAGGGCTTGATGTTTGTGGATGAGACCTTTTGGGTTGGCATCTTCTTTACATGGAAACTAAGAGCCTTACCCTAAGTATATGCTTAAAAGGAATAAAAAAAGACCAAAATTGGCAGTAGCCCATTATTAGATTCACTCATTTTTCTCAATGAAAGTTCTCTTTCTATTATATTTACAAAATAAATCAAAATTTACTCCCTTCTTGTCAATTTAAGGCAAACCAACTTTTGATTTAAAGCATGAAGAACATGCTCATTTAGTTATTATTAAAGGTTGAAACTAATTATCAATTGATTAAAGAGGGGAAAGTTGTGTTAATACTCATTCAGTCCATCTTTTGATTTTACTTTGAATTTTCTATTTAGTAAGACAGATTCTGAATTTCATTAATCACATCCTTACTATCTATCCATGAACTTAAATTTCATTTTTTGTGTTACCAAGCATAAAACAGTGGTTGGTAGTAATCCAATAAGCAGTGGATCAGCCATCTTAAGAATGAACAGTGAATCAATATGGAGTAGTATCTTTGCAAATTTTGATACCTTATATGAACAACATAATATTTCCCTATAAATACCACAAACTTAATATGATAGACATATTAAGAATTTTTTTTTTTAAATGATATTTACTTACCTTCTAGAGATTTCAAAAAGTCCATATTTAGATTAAGGGTTGTTTCCACAAAAACATGTGAATCGTTCATAGCTAGGGGTGCTCACGGTTAACCGAATCGTGGGCTAATTTTTGAAACCGAACCGGGGTTACCGATTTTTGGAAAACCAATAACCGAAACCGAACTGAAACCGATCTGTTAACCATTTGACCATTTTGGTTAATTGTTGGTTTGGTTCATCACCTTTTCAGTTTTTTATTATTTACAATATTTATTATAGAAAAATATATAAATATATAATAAAATATTAGAAATATATATAATTCTATATTTTAAATAATAAATAATATATTATATATTATAAATATATATAGTACATATTTATTAATTTATAATGTATAGAAAATAATATATATATATATAATATAAATATACATAAAATATATATAAATATATGTATACCGGTCAGTTCGATTAACCACCGACTTTCTATTTTGGTTAACCAAAAACGAATTAGCACCTTCATTTTTTTAATATTGAACTGAAACCGAACCGACCGATTTAATTAACCGAATTTTCAGTTCAGTTTTGGTTGGTTTTTTTGATCGATTCAGTTTTCGATTTTTTGCTCACCCTATTCATAGCCCCTTCCTACCTGGCTGCCAATGAACCACATATTAAAATTACATGCAAACATCACATTTTGATTACACTCCATTTTTATTTCATTATGATTTAGCATTTGCCTTCCTTCTAATAATACCCAAGAAAATTCTACATAGCATAAGATTATAAAATATATCATCATACACTTAACTAATGAGTAATTTTATCATATAAAATTATCAAGAGGTACCTTAAAGTGGGGACAATATCTCTGATTATGTAAAATGTGTGAAGGGATGGCATTGGGATGAAATGGGTCTTATATTTCTCATTGGCAATGTAGTAAAAGTTAACAATGCATTACCAAAGTGTCTACTTATTGTCTTTCCAAAATATTGAAACCGGTCTTGAATCATCTTATTTGGTTTGTGCCCAGTAGTCATTAAAATCATTGCCACTTATATATTCTTCTACAGTCATACATTTAGTGGGTTTTAATAACTGATGCTCCTTTATTGTTTTACATAGATGAATGAAATAAAGTTTATGCACACATAGTACAGAATAGCTTCTGTTGTCATGGCCTTCTATTACAGTCATAACATATCGATGCCCTGTAAACTTTAGAATGTGACATGGTTCTTTGTTTATATACATATCATGATAATGATCAATCAAACTTGCAATAGGAAGCATTTCTTCCTCTTGCTTTGGATCAATGTATAATGAATTATCATATACAAAGATCATATTAATATACTATTTCTAGCATAAATTCATCATAGGTTATTATATTATATAACAATTCTTACTAAACTCAAACGAATATAACCTTTTATGCTCAAAAATGTCACCAGGCTTTATGTGCCAAAGTTTGTTAGTATTCTAGCTAAATCATACACATTCTTGAAGTTTTCAAGGAAAAATGCCTCTTGTGCTTTATCACATGCTATGAGTCGATCAATGACAAACATATAACCCACATTTAGGCTTCAACAATGGCATACTATCCAATATATCCATGGATTTAGAAATAGGGAATGAATATCTAAGAGATGAGGACGTTCCCTTCGATTACAGGTGGACATGAATTGAGCTTTTCATGAGTGATTCGAGCTTGACTCGTGAGACTCATGAGCCTAATCAAACTTATATTACATATAAAATTTTTACTTTTTATATGTATAATATAAATCTTAATTTTTTTATGTAAAATAAGAAATAGTTTCTTGTATGTATAAATTTTATTTTTTATATGTATTTTTTTCTTTTTTGTATGAAGATTGGTTCACAAGCGAGCTTGAATATATGAGCTTTTTAGTTGAGCCATATTTGAGCTTAAGCCTCTCTCTCAAAGCGAGATTGAGCTCATGCTTTTTAAGCAATCTAAGCTCAACTAATGAGATATTTGGCTCGACTCGGCTCAAATCCACCCTACCTTCGACCAGACTCTACAATATAACCTATCCAATTGGCTACTTAATCGTACATATGACATAATTAGATAATCTATTACAATGATTATGTTGGGAACTTTCTTCCAATAACCTATTACCCACCATTGGTTCTATAGGAACCTCATTTTGAGTTAGATGACAACAAGAATAGCCCATTTCAGCTTGGACAATTATATCGGCCGAATTGCCTTTTATAGTTGGGCTCATATGGATCTGAGTTTTACAAGTTTTATATTGATTTGGATTAATTACGTATATGATTTGCTATGTAAATGTGATTTGCTCATGGGGCATAAGTGCTTGGCCCATGAATTTACTTATGCGTCTTTCTACGATCATCATTGTTGAATGCACATCATTGCCATAATACCCATTGATCATTGTATGATCTTCTTTCTAATAGACCTTTCTCTTGCTTCTTCTCCAAAGAGGAACCCCGTGGAAACCCTAGCCCATTAAGGCCCAACTCACTTGAGCTGATTTGGAGTCACCGCCCATCATTTGACTAAATTAAGAGTGATGGGCCTCCTAGGAATTAAACTTGAAATTATTTTAATCTAGTAGTGACTCTAAACCTAAGGCATTGATTGAACCAATTAGGTAAGATCCAGATGGGAAAGGGAAGGGGTTAGTCACCCCTCTTCCATTTCCAATAGGTGGGGCCTACATGGGGAACCTAAATAAATATAAGCATCAAAGCATGAACAATAACTATCTAAATAAACCCCAACTAGTGTGAAGCAAGAGAATTAAAAGTTCTAAACAAAAGATAAAAGATAATTATTCTTTCATGAGAGTCTCTTTTCTTTATTGTTTATTTTTTTTTTAATTTATTTGAGTCAAACATATGAGCTTTTGAATTGAGCTTGGGTCTCATGCTTTTTACACAAGCTAAGTAAGCTCAAATAACTAGATATTTGACTTGGCTCGGCTTAAATCCACCCCTAACTTTGACTAGACTCTACAATATTACACAACCTATCTAATTGACTGCTCAATCATGCAAATTTAGATAATTTATTATGACGATCATGTTAGGGGTTTTCTTTTGTCAACCTATTATCCACCATTGGTTCTATAGAAACCTCATTACTTTGGCCATTGTGAGCATCATGAAATAACTCACATGGGCTGATTTAGAGTCACCACCCAATCATGTTATTAAATTGAGAGTGATGGGCCTCTTGGGAATTAAGTTTGAAATTATTTTAATTCAACAACAACTTCAAACCTAAGGCTCTAATTGAACTGTTTGAGAGAAGAGGGGCTAGGCATCCCTTAGTGGGGACTATATGGGAAGCCCAAAATACATATAAGCATCAAAGCATGAACAATAACTATCCAAGGGGATGTTTGGAACTGTGGCCGTTTTTCTGAAAAACAGTGCCATGTTGGATCCACATAGGCGTTTCAATAAACACCCATATATATGATTGTTTGGTTCACACGTTTTTTGAAAAAACGCTTGAACCATGGGTATGCCTCATAAATCGGAACCCCCACCGATGCATGAAACGTCAAATTTGGTGTTTCATGCATCGATGAACCGTTGTCGCCAACGGTTGACTGATTGGCGATTACATGTATCCTATGTGGTACTTACCTGTCAACACATACATGAAAAACGGTGATGAAAATCACCTTACCAAACAGCATAGTGTTGCTCACTGCCTACATGGCAGAAACACTCCCAAATAAAATTAAAGCGTTTTTTTGTGAAAAATGGGTCTTGGAAGCATGGGCGTTTTTTCTTGAAAATCAATCCCAAAAAACACCCACGCTTCCAAACACCATCTAAATAAACTCAAACTAGTGTGAAGCAAGAAAATTAAAAGTCCTAAACAAAAGATAGAAGATATATAATTATTCTTTTAAGAGAGGCTCTTTTCTTTGTTATTTTATTATTTTAATTTATTTGTGCATTGTGATTACTTTATTACTTTTATTTTTAAGAGAAAAAGAAGGAAAAGAAGAAAGGGGATCCTAATGAACTATGGTGGGACCTACATGGGAACTTAAAACAAGCAATAGGGCCATCTTCATTTTGGGTTTATATATTCAAGCAAACTAGATTAATTCAACAAGTGCTTAGATGGATCAAAAGGGAGCCATACAATAATATATTTATCCTTAGAAAAGATCACACCATAAAATGAAGTGAAATAAAATCAGAATAGAACACGAAATTAAAGCAAAACAGATGATAGAGTATGTGAATAGTAAACAGTGGGACAATAGAAAAAAAAATTTAGAAAAAGCTAGAGAAGAAAATGGTTGTTGCCTCCATATCTATCATTGGCCGTGATACAAGAACAAGAACGATGGATGGAGAAGATAATAAATTCTCTTTTATATCCAAATTCAACAGGTTACAACTCTATTTATAGTAGAGCTAATTATAATTGGGATACAATAGGGAGACAAGGTCGGTGACCTAAAGAGAATACAAGAAGGAAAGAAAAAGAGATAAGAAGGTAGGATATGTACAACTAATTATCTCCTAGAAGTAAGGAGATATAGAGAATACGCTAACATTCCCCCTCAAACTCAAGAGGGTAATGTATCAGTCATCTGGAGTTTGCCAACGAGAGCACGAAAGCGAAGAGGAGAATAAGCTTTGGTAAATATATCTGCAGACTGATCCTGGGAAAGGACAGAAATAAAGCGAACAGTATCCTCGAGCACATGATGACGAATAAAGTGACAATCAGTCTCAATAAGCTTAGTGCGCTCATGAAAGACATCATTGTGGGCAATCTGTATGGCGCTACGATTGTCACAGTGAAGAGGGGTTGCAGATGAATGAGTAATTCCCATGTCATTGAGTAACCATCGTAACCATAACAGCTCGGAGGTAGTGTCAGCAAGAGCTCGATATTCAGCTTCAGTACTGGAACGAGAGACAACCATTTGCTTCTTACTACGCCAAGAGATAAGAGAATCTCCAAGAAAGAAGCAATAACCAGTAGTGGAGCATCTATCAGTAGGATCATTAGCCCAATCAACATCAGAATATGCGATCAAATGAAGAGGGGAAGAATTGGAGTAGTGAAGTCCATGAAACATAGTGCCCTTAACATAACGGATGATTCGAAGCACAACAACATAATGAGTAGTGCGAGGGGCAGACATGAACTGACTTGCAATATGGACAACTTACGCAATATCAAGACGAGTAACAGTAAGATATACAAGACTGCCAACTAGTTGCCGATATAAGGTGTAGTCACTAAGAGGAGTACCATCAGTGGCTGAAAAATGGGCATTAGGTTCAATCGGAGTGTTAACAGTTTTAGTATCAGTGAGTCCCGCACGAGAAACAAGATCAGTGGCATACTTGGCCTGAGAGAGATAATATCCCGAATGGTCGGAGGAGACCTCAATGCCTAGAAAATAATTCAGTCGACCAAGATCTTTCATTTCAAACTGTTTGCTAAGAAAGGTCTTGAGAGCGAAAATGCCCTGCAAATCATCGCTAGTAATGATCATGTCATCCACATAAAGGAGAAGAAGTACACAACCCTGAGAGGTCTTTCGGATGAACAAGGCATGATCATAAGTGCTAGATTGAAAACCAAACTAACAAATAGTAGAGTTGAATTTGGAGAACCATGCTCAAGGCGCCTGCTTAAGTCCACATAGAGCCTTACGGAGATGACAAACCTGATTAGGGAGATGGTCATAACCAGGAGGGGGCTGCATACAAATCTCTTCAGAAAGATCACCATTGAGAAAAGCATTCTTAACATCTATCTAAAATAGCTGCCAATGCTTAGCTGCAGCAATCGCAATAAGACTACGAACATAAGTGAGATGGGCTACTGGGGCAAAAGTCTCCTCTTAATCAATGCCATACTCTTGTGTGAATCCTTTAGTTACCAATCTAGCTTTATACCTTTCAATTGAACCATCTGCCTGAGTCTTGATTTTGTAGACCCATTTGCAATCAATCACGGATTTATCTGGAGGCAGGTCAACTAAATCCCAAGTATGAGTGCTTGTAAGAGCGTGAATTTCTTATGTCATTGCTTTCTGCCATAGAGAGTCAGTACTAGACTCGCGATAGGTACAAGGCTCATATAAAGATACAATGGTAGAATAACAATGAAAATCTCGAAGAAGAATGAAAGGTTTAGTGACCCTACCGGAGTGACGGAGTGGAGCATCAGAATAAGCAGGGTCTAATTCATCAGGAGGAATCAAGGGCTCAGAAGAAGGCAGAGTTGGAGGATCCATAGCCAAGATAGATGCATCAGAAGAGGTTGCAGGTTGTGCAGTACTGTCAGAGCTATCAGATGAAAAGGTAGTCGGACCTGTAGGTAAATCATCCGAAAAAAGCGAGATAGTAGGATCAGTAAAAAAATGTGAAGATGTCATGGTAACTCGAAATGGGGAGAGACTGGAGAACATTTTTGTGTTCTCAAAAGGTAACATGACGAGATATGCGAAGTCGTTGGGAAAGAGGATCCCAACACCGATATCATTTATGTTCAATACCATACCCGAGAAAACAACATAGGCGTGCTTTTGGTTTCAATTTGGTATGTTCATGAGGTTGTAATAGAACAAAACAAGCACAACCAAATACACAAAGAGACTGATAATCAGGGCAATGGCCATACAATCGTTCATAAGGAGAAATGTTACCAATAACAGGAGAAGGAATGTGATTGATAGTATACACAGCAGTGAGGGTTGCTTCCCCCAAAAAACGTTCAGGACAAGAGGAAGAGATTAAAAGGGCTCGAACAGTATCAAGAATATGCCCATGTTTCCATTATGCACGCCCATTTTGTTGAGAGGTACCGGAACAAGATCTATGAATGATAGTTCCGTTTTGTGAAAGAAATTGGGTAAGGGTAGAATCTCTATATTCCATGGCATTATCAGTGCGAAAAACTTTAATGATAGAGGAAAACCGAGTTTTGATCATGGTGGCAAATTGAATATAAATTGCAGATAACTCAGATTTATTATGCATGAGATAAATCCATGTATATCGAGAGAAATCATCAACGAAGATCACAAAATAACGCGAACCACCCATGGTATTATGGAAGGGCCCCAAATATCAGAATGAATAAGATTAAAAGGTGTGGAAGAAACAGAATCACTTATATTAAAAGGCAAAGCATGATGTTTTGAAAGAGGACATGAAACACAATCAAAGTGTGTTGTTTTAACAGGACCCAAACATCCATTAGAAATTAAAGATCCGGTAGAAATGTGATCAAGGCGAGAATGCCAGACATTAGCGGTGATATCAAGAGCAAGAGATGGTAGTTGAAGGGATGATAGCTCAAACAGTCTCCCAACCTTATGGCCTGTCCCAATGATCTTCCCTGTCCGTGGATCCTGCACAATATAACCACGACTTGAGAAATGCATTTCAAAACCAAGTTCACATAATTGTCCAACAGATATAAGATTTAGAGATAATTGAAGTACCAAAAAAGTGTTAGAAAGTGACAAACGAGATGTTGAAACAATGCCTACACTTTTGACAGTTAAGGTGGAACTGTCGGTAGTATGAACAATTGGTGCAATAGAAGGATGTGACTTGGAAGTAAATAGTGATGTATTAGATGTCATATGATTGCAACAGGCAGAATCAAAATACCATGATGAGGTAGTACTTGGAGTGACGAACAAGGCTGGATTAGAAGGCATACCAGAATCAGGTTGGAGCTGGTGAAGAAGAGCTTGGAGTTCTCTAAGAGAAAATCTTAGAGAGGTGTTATTAGAAGAATTCTGTATGGCAGCAGCTGCAGTAGAACTCGAAGCCTGAGAACCCATGGATGAGGACTTCTGTCCAGACGCCTTTTTGGCTTGCAGGCGACGACACTCAGAAATAGTATGACCAGCCTTATTGCAGTAATTGCAGAAAGTCCGTTTTGAAGATTTAGTTGAAGAAGTAGTAGATGTACCCGGAGTAGCAAGAACAACATCAGTAGATAATAAGGATCGCTCATCTTGAAGTGTTCTTAGACGAGTTTCTTTAGAAAGCAAATCTTTGATCACAACTTCAAGAGAAGGAAATGGGCTACGATAAAGTAGAGTACCACTAATAGGTTCATACTCATCCCTGAGAGTCATCAGAAGATGCCAAACACGTTGGCGATCGTGAAGCTTGGAATAAGTAGTAGCTGCAGAGGTACTATCCCATTCTGGTTCACACTGTGCTAACTGATCCCAAAGAACTTGTAATTCAGAGACATAACTGTGAATGGGTCTATTCAGGTTGCTGCTTCATACGGTGAAGAAGCCTATAGAGCTGAAACTGATGCACATCATCAAAAATAGAATAACGAACTTGTAATAAATCCCATACCTCTTTAGGAGAGTCATATCTGTAGAATTCCAACTTGATGCTTGCGATACAGGTATTGCGAAACCCAATCACTATTTGATGATTTTTCCTGTCCCATTTTTCTACTCGTTCAGCAAATCTATCTTCTGCTTCATCAGTAGTTTTAGTAGGTTTGGGAATCTCACCTGTCACATATCGCCATAGAAGACGTCCCTTGAGAAAATTGCACATCTCCTGGGACCATACATCATAATTCGAGCCATCGAAGGTAACAGTGATGGGATGAGAGATATGTTGAGCGGCTTCAGATGAATCCATGAGGAGAAACACAAAATTTTGGAACAACACAAATCACGGGAAGATCTTAATACTGACTTTAAGAACCAAGGCAGACCCGGGGCTCAAGCTCGCGACCAGCTTAGGTAGCAGCAACCGGGACGGCACAGAGGAGGCGGGCTACAATCGGGAAGCCGGGTTCGTTTGGCTTAAGAGGGATTTTATTTCCCGCAACTTGTTGTAGGAGGGAAAAGATGATGTCCGGTGGCTATACCAGTCTCGACAAGGACAACGAGAAATTTTTTGGATCAGTACCTACGGCTTCAGATCCTGCTCATGTGATCGTCAAATTCGTAGAGTCGAATCTTTAGACGTTTCCACCTTTCCAGGCACGGGACTCACACGGCATCCACAGTTGCCGGAGCAGCCGTTAGAGAAGCTGGGTTTTATAAGTTCGCGGTGGGAGAAGCTAGAGGCATGGTTACCAGGGCAAGAATCGCTGCTTACAAGGTCTACTGGAAACTCGGTTGTTTTGATTCCGATATTTTAGCCGCAATGGATCAGGTCATCGTCAATGGCGTACATATAATCTCTCTTTCCGTTGGCGCAACCGGCTACGCACCTTCATACTATCATGATTATATCGCCATCGGGGCATTTGGCACCGTCAATATTGCGCCATGGATTATCACCGTTGGAGCGTCAACCATCGATAGGGAATTTCTAGTGGATGTTGTGCTTGGCGATGGGAGAGTCTTCAATGGAGTGTCGCTATACTCCGGGGATCCACTCGGCGATTCGGGTTGAGTCACCCTCTCGGGTATCTACCTCAGCGACCCTGCTTCCGGTAAGATCTCATTCAAAATGTCGTTCGGAATCTCTCGTTCGTTTCCTGTTTCGTGGCCGAGAGCTTCAGTCGATTATGTTAAGATATCGAAAGTGTATCCGGGATTGTTCTGCCAAGATGGATTCTTTTCGATACCGACATCAATACTGATGATTTCTTTGCTCTTCTGTATTCGTACTCGGTTGCAGACTGTAACGGAGAAAGTCGTGGGGAGATTCAAAGCCACCACTTCGTTGCCGAGAGCTTCGCCTTAAACCGGAAGTCATGTACAGGATGACGATAACCGAGGTGCTACGAGATTCTACTGATAGGGCTCGTGTTAGCCTTCAACCCGAGGTGGTGCAACAAGAACGATGGGCTCTGATACCATGATACAAGAATAAGAACGATGGATGGAGAAGATAATAAATTCTCTTTTATATCCAAATTCAACAGGCTACAGCTCTATTTATAGTAGAGCTAATTATAATTGGGATACAATAGGGAGACAAGGTCGGTGACCTAAAGAGAATACAAGAAGGAAAGAAAAAGAGATAAGAAGGTAGGATATGTACAACTAATTATCTCCTAGAAGTAAGGAGATATAGAGAATACGCTAACAGGCCGACCTATTACCTTGGGTGAGAAAATTAATGAGGCGTTGTAAAGAAACTGTGGAAGGTGGTAACGCATCCTTAGTGTGTTGCCATTAGGTTCAAT